TATGCAACTGTCCACCACTTGTGGGTAGCGTGGTTTTCCGCATTTTTTTGAGCGCACATGTGCGACGTTTGATAACGACAGTTGGAGAGCGTATGAAATTATGTGTGTTTCGCATAGAAAACAAAACCCCGAAAACTGCGCAGCTTGATCTGGTTGTACAAGACTGGAACCATCAGCGGAGCGAGCGTTCGACCTCGCTACAAGTTTTGACAGAGACGCTAAGCTTTTGCTAGTGGTGCTTAGTGAGGCTAAATTTGTTTAGACATGTCATTTGATGTCGTGATGTTAGTGACGTTACTAGCTGAAATGTTACGGCACAAACACGTCACGTGATTAGCTATTGTCAGGCACTGCATAATTTAGGCACGAAACTAAATGGTACTTGTTTTTCAGTTATTTGAGCAGTTACGTGAAGTCATGAAAATTTTAGGTGCTTGAGGGTGGTTAAAACGTGATTTTTAGTCATGTGACTATACTCGGGGACAGCTTTCTGTGGCAGTGATGGGAAGGCTACGGAGCCAAAGAGGGTGCTTGCCACTGCTGCAGAATATACTGCCACAAACGCGTCCGTGTTTTCCGCGTGAAAATAATAAAAAAAAAACATTATTTTTCAATTAATGCTGTTTATGAAGAGACGCTGCATGCACCGAAGAGAGATATTCATATTTGTTGTTGATTTCCGAAAGTCGTTTCGCGTTTTCGCGCGTCTGAAAACTTCACACGTTTCACGTGCACTTCACAGTCAAAATGGCGTCTCGTCTTTAGGTGAGCGCGCGTCGCTCTCCAGCCGTTCCGACGACTCGCCGATGGAGCTTGTGGGCCTGATTTCACTAACAAACGGCTGTGTGAGCAGAGGTATCAAATTGTGTGTTCCGGCGGGATCACTTGAACACGGCCGTCGTGCAAAACTCGATCCGAACCAGAATACTTCGCGGAAGAGTACAGGAGCAGTATAGCTCCGCCTCCGTAGGTTTCCCTTCATTGCCACAGAAAGTTGTCCCCGAGTGTAGTTTGTGATACGTGATTTCAGTCGCCTGAGTGGGTGTTACGTTATCTTACGACATTTTAAGTCGTGTAGCAGGCTGGCCCATCATCCGACCTGGTGGTCTAGTGGTTAAAGCACTAGGCTGCTGACCCGCGGTACACGGGATTGAATCCCAGCTGCGGCGACTGCATTTTCAACAGAGGTGAAAAATGCTGAAGCCCATGTGCTTAGATTTAGGTGCACGTTGAAGAAACTCAGGTGGTCTCAATTTCCAGAGCTTTCTACTACGGCGTCTCTCATAATCACATGATGCTTTTTGGATGTTACACTCCAATATTATTATAACAGACTCTCCCATCGTAGTTCTTGCATTAGAAGCCATACCAACTGATACACCTGTTGTAAAGACGAAGCAAAAGTCGAGGAGGACTCATCCAGAGCACACCGATTCATTACAATGATAATTCATTTTTGCATTGAACTTGGGCAACGTAAAGATTAAAGAGCTGTGCTGGTAAAAATTCGCACCTGTTACAAAAAGTGAATGCTGATGAGGGAACGGCTTCGTATGCACACGCTGACTGGTTACGTTGGAGTGAAAGCTACCCAAGTAGCATGACGGAGCCCCGTGACCAAATGTCTTCCATATTATTATAAAAAATGGCAGCATATCCACGGAGTGAATGATGGAGAGTGGGGCGAAGCATTCGTCCGTCCATTCGTTCTTGCTTCCGTCCATCCATACGTCCGTCTGTGTGACCGTCCATGCGTCCATCCACCCGTCCGTGCGTGCGTCTGTTCGTGCATCCGTCCCTGCGTTCGTCCATGCATCCGCCCCTGCGTCCGTTCATGCGTCCTTCTATGCATCTGTCTGTGTGTCCGTTCGTCCATCTATTCAACACTCCAAGTATCACCATCTCGCATCTTTTCATTATATATTCACCATATAGAAGCACCGCTATCCAGCGGACGTTCCAAGGACTAAACGAGAGGTGGCACACGCACACTTTCTTACGGCTTGCGCTTCGGGTCTAGTTCCCTTCGGGTCTACTTTAACCACCTCGAGTTCATGGTATATACTATAGTTCACTGTATTCATGGCACTGCAGCCCAACGCTCGCTAAACCTTTCTAAAACCAAGGAGGTTACGGCCAACGAGTATAACGTAGCAATCTTTTTCTGTCAGATAGTGCTCAATGTACATGCTAATGGCTGCTAACGGGAAATGAGAGACAGGAGAATTCGGCTTTTACTTTCTTACGGCTTGCGCTTCGTATCTACTTCCCACCTTTAACCACCTCGAGTTCATGGTATATACTAATTCATTGTATTCATGGCACTGCGGCTCAACGCTCGCTAAACCGTTCTAAAACTAAGGAGGTTACACCCAGCGAGTATAACGTAGCAACTCTTTCTTGTCAGTTAGTGCTCAATGTACGTGCCAATGGCTGCTAATGGGGATCGCAGCGAGCACGTTAACTAAAAGCCAAATGCTCCTGTCTCTCATTCCCCATTAGCAGCCATTGGCATGTACATTGAGCACTACTTTTTATTGTTCAACAACGCACAGAAGAAATCTCCCACCGGCACCACCGTGGAGGTCAAAATGTTATACTTGTCACACACTACAACGGCTACGAGGGACGAATGGGTGTCGCTATAAGGAGTTTCGCCCCTAAAAAGGCACGAGCCGTCGGCGGTCTGCGCTCCTTCTTGTTTTAACGCAGAAGTTGTTCAAGGTGGCCGTAATTTGTCTGTCGGAAACAGAAATTACCATGGCGAACCGGACCCTCTTTATATCCTCTTCTTCATGTTGATCCTCTTGTTTGCACCCAGAACCAGTGAGTAGACTTCTCAAGAGTAGCTTCTATTAAACGTGACGTGTGCGAGAAGGAGTACAAAGAGAGAGAAAGAAATAGATTGAAAGGAATAACGATGCAGGAATTCTTGCCGAACAAAAAAAAAAAAAACTTAATGAGGTGGGATTTGAATCTGCGTGCACTCGACGCTTATAGGCAAAGTGCCCTGACCATTTGGCATGTGGCCTGTAAATATCAATGTAATTATTGTGAACTGCCCATGACACAATTCGTCACGCTGAAGTTACCTTAACATACACAGCACACACTTCGTTTCAAACAGATGGACGCATTTAAAATGTCATTGAAACACACCGGAGCGTCCAGAAGCGCGAGACACTTCGGAACGGGATCTAAAGTCTCAGCTATCCAGGCACGCCAGCTTAGCACAGACTTGCGTAGTTTAGTGTTTCAAGGGGGTTGTAAGGAGAATCGAGGGTGAGGAGGTAATATCTGATGGGGAGAAATAGGAAAACGGGGAGGGACGAGAGTAAAACGTAGCACTGAAATAACGAGGAGAAAATTAGACGGAAAGGAATAATTTATTGATTAATTTATATGTGAAGATCAACGTCCCAAACCCACTATATGATTACGAGAGACGCCGTAGTGGAGGGCTCCGGAAATTTCGACCACCTGGGCTTCTTTAACGTGCACCCAAATCTGAGCACACGGGCCTACACCAGTTCCGCCTCCATCGGAAATGCAGCCGCCGCAGCCGGGAGTCGATCCCGCGACCTGCGGGTCGGCAGCCGAGTACGTTAGCCACTAGACCACCGCGGCTGGGCAGCGAAAAGAATGCAGAAAGTCAAAGAATGAACATCAATGAGAGAGAAAGAAATAGAGTAAGAGACAGAGAGAGAAAATGATAAGAAGCAAGGGATGTTTGAATGTTTGAATGAATGTTTATTTCATATTCTATTTACAGACAACACACACTTGTCGGACTTATAGCCAAGGGCTAGTTGAAGGTCGGAAAAAAGAATACCTATAAGGATATCCTAGCACAGAGGAGAAAAATTAAGAAAAATATGGTAATAATTCAAATAAACAGAAAATTCAAAAGATTTGATAATGGATATATATATGTGTGTAGAGAGAGAGAGAGAGAGAGAGAGAGAGAGAGGGGAAATTGAAGGGGAAAAGATATGAAGGATAGAAAGAGCAAAGAGAAATAAATAAAAAGCAAAGAGAAATATATAAAATAAATAATTAAAAATGAACACAGGAAAAAGAGACGCATAAACATAGAAATGACAGAAGAAAAAATAGAGCCAAGAAGAAAGATAAAATTTGCACACATACCTTGGCATCAGCGTCGAGCGATTTGCGACACCAGCGTTAGCCGAAGCAGTACAGGCCATGCTGAGCGACGTCCATGTGTTAAGCGTGCTGACGGCTGTACAGTGGCCTTTTTTATGAAAGGGAACACGTGAGCGCGTGGCCTGCACTCTGCGGAGGCTTTCTACGGCATCATCATTCCTGTTCTCTTCTCCTATTTCAGTTTCCCTTATTTCCGGCGGTGAAGCGAGAAAATTGCTCTTTCTTGCTATATATGAATGAGAAAAGTGTGACCCAAATACACGACCTGCTCTTTTGTACATGCCTTTTGTTCCGCGAGCAGTTTTCTTTTTATTTCCATCATCCAACAGCTTTTCCCCACGTATTTCCTAAGGCCATGAAACGGATCCTTCGCCTCTTCCCTCATATTGGAGAACCAGGGGCGAAAAACTGTTGGGGAAGAATAATTTGTTAATATTATAGGTTTACATCGCGTCGTGGAAACGATGTTTTGATTGGCTGTACATTCGAGCAACCCTAGCGTGAGCACGGCTTTGCTTCTGGAATTTGGAATGAATAAATGTTGTGACGAATAGCTTGTTGTAGATTTTGCTGCAAAAGAAGTAGGGTACAGAAAGTACTTTCCGTATGATTCAGAAAAAAAGATAACGCGAGTAAAAAGTGGTGAAAGTGTTTTAATTTATACAGTACACTACGAACAAGGTACCGCGAAGTACGAATGGTAGACGAAATCAGTAGCATTCTCATCCTTGAAATAAAATTCCAATAGAATTTCCATAGGAAAAGCAATAGCCGTCGGACTATACTGAGAGCTAATTGTGTGTCAACCAGAACTCGTGGTTTCCTGTTCGCAGATTCTCCTGCTGGTCTCCACTGGACTGTCCATCACCAGAGGCTCCTACGCCTTTCAGGATGTTGAACTGGTCGACTACATCAGCGTCTCGACACTACGAGAGGCAACTTCAAATTTTGCCATGGCAATATCTCTGGTAAGCATCCGGTGCCCGGTGTTTCGCGAGAATTTTAACATAAGTTTACGACGTTTAAATTGAGATTCAGAATTTTGCAGACATTGAACGCACAAGTTTACCTGAAACTGCTCAGGCGCAACAAACAAAAAAGATACAATTGCATAGCAAGATACGTCACGTGCGTACACATCATACAGTAGAAATATTTCGGGATTTCTTGATAATACAGTGTGACGAAAAAGCCATTTGGTATTACTTTAAATGCAGACGTGTGGAAGCACTTGTTTTTTTAAAAAGGCAAGTTACAACTAGACACCTTGAATATGAACATAGGAAAACACTAGATATTTAAAGTAGTATTGAAAAGTTTCATCATGCTACGAACACCGGAAAAGTACATCACAACCATTTACGTTGTGAAGTATCATCCCGGCTAAAGAACTGTTTTATTTAGGCACAGATAAAAATCTACTCGCATGTATCCTTGTATATCCCAGAGACGTGAGGGTGAGGGCCGACACTGTTCATAGTATTCGCTCATGTATTGCCCTGGAACCAGCTTAACGTGTACCATAATTACTTGTGCAAATATCAGTTGCCGGCATCAATCAACACTGTGACTGACTCCGCAGGCTGTCTTGACGCTACTGATTTGGCGGCGATGGCGACGTTGCCTTCCACCGTCAGGATTCGCAGGAGCACTGCTGGGCCTGCTGTTCACAGCTTGCGTGCTGGACGTCTTCTGCCAGTGCACCACCGTTGTACAGCTGCAGGTACGATGGCACACTGTTGGCGAGAGCGAAACGCCCCAATATACATTTAGCAGTGAAGTTTTAGGGGCGAAGCTCCTTGAGGTGCGAGTCGGTCGTCACATGTATCTATGCATATATGTAGTAACCACCTCACAGCATATCCACGGAGTGAATGATGATGAGTGGGGCGAGGCTTCGGAGTGTTTTATAGGCAAACCATGAATCATACCATGAACAGACGTCACCGTTGTCTGTCTGTCTGTTTGACGCACGGACGGATGGATGGACACACTCACAGATGGATGAACGCACTCACGGATGAACGCAGAGACTAACGCATGGACGGACGGATGCACAGACAGACGCACGAATGGACGCATGGGTGGATGGACGGAAGCAAGAACGAACGAACGTACGGAAGCGCGGGTGGACTGATGGATGCTTCGCTCCACTCATCATCATTCAGTCCGTACATATGCTGTGATTTTTTAAAATAGTTTGTTCAGAGTTAATTATATTGTGAATAATGCATAATCGGTATGGCTGAGGATGACATATTTGTGGTTCTTCCAGGGAAGTTTGTAGGAGATATGGTGTTGATAAGAGAGCGCCTGTCACTGTCACCAGACGTTAATCATGCTCATACCTTGAAGGAACTCACTCAGCAGTCGTGTAACAGTTCGTGCAAACGTTAGATTTTTGAAGTTCGGCGGGCAAAACTGCTTTCGCGCGGGCTTTCTAGAACAAGAATATGCCGTGTCTGTCGTTCACTGTGCACATCAATACATTACTCATATCTGGCGGAGCACACCGCGCGCGTCAATGGGCAAACTTAACAGCTACTGTTTATCGCGATTCATAAACGGATCACCAGTGGTCCACTAAAAAGGAAGAATCCAACAGTTCGCTCAACGCTAGGATTACACTAGTCGCTGATGCGATCCAGGTCACCTTGGAGGGATTGATGATCATCAGTACTCTTTGTGTAGCCATAAACAATGCAGTCGTGAGCAAAAAATGCGTGTAGAAGACGATATGTTATTTGGAATGTCATCAATGTAAATTAGGAATAGTAAGGGAACAAGGGCGCTATCTTGAGCACCCGTGATGTGACCTCTGCAGGAGGAGAGAGATATTTATTAATGGTGAACTGCTGGAGCACTTAAAAAGAAAGTTAAAGACCCATGACAAGTTTAGCGAATCTAATTTAAGCGCACAAAGTTTTAACATCAGTCGGCAATGTTCTACCTGATCGCATGCTTCAGAAAAGTCTGGGAAGGTGCAATCTGCTTGTCAGTTGATGTTCATGTTGTTATGAAGGTCAGTAGTGAATTCGAATACCTGTGACTCACAGAAGAAGCCTTTTCGAAATCCATGCTGGTTTGGGAATAAGAAATTATTTTGTTCCAGGTCATTGTAAATGGGTGATGCGATAATCTCTTCGAGCATCTTGCAGCAAATGCATGTTAGTGAGATGGGGCATAGGGAGATCGGTAACATAGGGAGAGAATATGATACAAATAAAAGTCCAGCAAGAAGTCCTAAGGTTACAAAGAACTGGCTCCTCCTATGTTGATAAACTAGAAAAGTGAAAAAAAGTTAATAAGCAAATACGGTATAATAAAGAAAACAGTTCGACATGTTGCACGTAACGAAAAGAAAGTAAAATATTTCAATGTTTACTAATAAACTCACGAAACAATGAGAATTGAAAAAGTTGGTGGTGCGAAACAGATAAAAATAGAATAAACAACAATTTTAGCTTTTTTAAAAGAATATATTGGTATGCGGGTGGTGTTTTGAAGAAAGGATGGATCCCAACATGAAGACTTAGCTGTTTATTCAACTGTAGGAGCAGCATCGGAGGAGCATTCTGTCGGTATACGCTCGTCTGAGGTAGCGGGGTAGCCTGATTTTAAATCCACCATCAGTGGTATAAGCATCGGGTGATGCAACGGTGCCGCTGTGGCTTATAGGAATGTAGTTCAGTGGGCAGCCACGTCAAAGCGAGCTAAATAATGGTGAAGTGGAGGCTGCGTCGAATTTCTGCACAAATTGTGTGACCACAGGAGCATGGGCAGGAAAACTCGGGTTCGATAACGTGCACTCATTATTTCTCAGGACATAACCCTGTCAGCAAGTCAGCTCGATAAGACTTCATTCACCGTGAGCCTCGTCGTGCTGGTTACCGTCATGGGTAACTTCGTGGTGTCCGAAATTCAAGACCTGATCATCAAGAGACCCAACAAATACGTGGTAAGTCCTTTCGTCACATATTATCAAGACGTTGTGGAAAGACTGAAAGCTGGGCCAGTTGGTGACAGTACTTGAACATATTTTAATACCCTTGTAATACCCATGCAAAAAAATTGACGCAGTGCGGGAACATAATGGCGTTCTTCCGAAACGAGCGTGACTCCATGCGCTTTATAAACAGGTGGAGCGAACGCACCAAAAAAATTGTTGGTTTCGGGTTCGATCTCCGAACCCGCACGACGTTCCCGGCAACTCTTCTACACAATCTTCTAAGCAGGCCACTCGATGATTTATCATTAGGAGAGATAACTGCAAGAATGCATGGGACACATAGGAAAGACGGAGCTCTTCGTATTTATTGCTGTGGTTCTGTCACGCGAAGCACAATAGCTTAGACGGAAGGACTGTTGTTAGAGCTGGCATTCCATTATCTGGGAAATGCACTAGCCTATTGTTTTGTTATATACAAGCTTCATCTTAGATACACTTATACGACCATCATGTGAGGACGAAGCATCATGCTTACACATTCTCTGTGTCTTTTTTTTTACTTTCAGAATTCGGTTGACGAGGACACAACTTCATTGCTTGCTCGGCAGTCTTGTTCAGTCCTCTTTCCGTAAGTTGTTGAAATAACTTCGTTTATGCGCTCTTCAAGCTGTGTTCGCCGTTAAGCGCATTCTTCTTAATAGTTTATATGACTTAGTGCAAGCTTTTTCGTAGATTATCTTTATTTCTGACGTGTCCAAATCCTGCCTTTAGAAGATTGCTGACACGAGTTTAAATTTCTTTTTTCAGATTGTTGCTATGCAGTGAATTACTGGGGTTGGTAGACCTGAAACGAATATTGTGAAACGAATATTAACACAGCATTAGAAAAAAAAAAAAGACACTTTCAGTTTTGATACTGAGGAGTCGGCTTCTCCGTGACGCGTCATAGCTGTGTAACGTCACGAGAAGACTGCAACTGGCGACTTGCTATTGGCAAATCTGTCACAGCAAGCACTCGTGGTTCACGTAAACATCTATGAGCGAATCGTCGTATGGTGGTCCTGCCAGCAACTTCAGCAATCTAGACTGCGTGCCGAATGCAGAGCTCACGGGATAGGTTTTTGGGCGAGTTTGTATTTCATTATCAGGGAAATGCTATAGCTAACTAGTTTCTTGTTGTTGAAAATATTCCATTGGAATGTGTGATATTCGACTCGGTAGTCGAATCGAATAGTGCATATATTTCTCGCATACCTTTTTGAAAAACCCAAAGGCACAGCACGTTTGAAGAGAAAAGGGTCACTTTTGTTGTTTTAGTACTGAATTAGCAATATGCGTGCAGTTCAAGCTGTCGCGGGACTATCAATGCCTTACTTACCAAACAAATAAAGGACTTCTTTTTTTTTATGGAACTTCAGTGTGGCTGAAGCGAATGTGTTCTGAATGCACATACTACCATCACAATGAGATCCATCATGTTATTTCATGAAATATGATTTATTTTTAGGTCTCACTGTTACTAAAATACTGGTGACAATGGCACCTTTAATACTGAAATAACTGCTGAAATAATACTACAAGTAAAGAATACCTCAAAGGCTGTCGTCACGACTGCGTATGACCTTACCTCAGTTTACAAGATTGTGGGGCCCGTTGTCGGTTATATGTACCGGTAATCTTGATTTGCTAAAGTTTTTAAATACTCGTACTAAATTAAATGTTGTGGAATTTCAGGCCTGTATTGAAAGCGATTACCTTGCATCACGAAAACTATTTGAATAGTATTTGTACGCGTTTTCGACTCGGTATGTTCACTATACTTGATGGGTATTCGATTCGGTTCTAAATTTGACTATTCGCGCGCCACCAATTGATACAGAATTGTGATGGCATGGCACCGTATATGGCTGGAGCAAAGACAAGGTCGGCGCTGGTGTCGTGTCATGTACGCGGTAGTGTTTAACGCAGAGCTATCATCATCATCATCATCATCATCATCATCATCATCATCATCATCATCATAATCATGATCACCACCATCATCATCACCACCATCATCATCATCATCATCATCATCATCCTGACTACGTCCACTGCAGGACAAAGGCCTCTCCCATGTTCCGCCAGTTAACTCGGTCCTGTGCTTGCTGCTGCCAATTCGTGCCCGCAAACTTCTTAATCTCATCTGCCCGCCTAACCTTCTGTCTCCCCCTATAACCCGCTTGCCTCTCTGGGCAATTCAGTTAGTTACCCTTAACGACCAGCGGTTATCCTGTCTACGCGTTACATGCCCGGCCCATGTCCATTTCTACTTCTTGACTGCAGAGCTATAGAGCCCCGTGCTATTTGTGATTGTGCGGTCGTCATTTCGATGCAGGGTTTTCAGGGACACCTTGAGGAAGGGCGTGTCAGCGTCGACGCGACTGCCGATACTTCGAAGAGGAATGCATTGCAAGAACCTCGTTCGAACAGTCACGGTGAAACTGGCGACCGAGTGAGTTGTACTCACATCACTCTGTTCTCAAATTTCTAGTTTTTATCCGCAGTATTGTTACCACTCATATGTTTATGATTATTAGACTTTCCCTTTAGCCATGTACTGTGAGAAAGAGCTCGCAGAAAAAATGGCTTGGATGCAATAGAAAATAAATTGAAAAATGTTTCATTATTGCCACAAAAAAAAAAGAAAGAGAGAATTTCTGGTACGTGGTGCTCCTTTCTTTGTTGTCTTTTTCTTTTGTTGCTATTCAACGTCCTTCTGCCTACCTGTAAATACTACCTTAATATTATTTTGCTAGGGAGTCTCCTGGCGTAATAAACACCGCAACGGTTAGCCAGAGTTTCATCTCTAAATTATTATTTTTTCATATTTGTTTCACTTGCCACACTTGATGCCTTCTTAGTAGTGCACAGTATTTTTGTGCTTACTAGGTACAGGTTCTCCCTCTTAAATATCGCAACGTGGCCCCGCCGCGGTGGTCTAGTGGCTAAGGTATTCGGCTGCTGACCCGCAGTTTGCGGGATCGATTCCAGGCTGCAGCAGCTGCATTTTCGATGGAAGCGGAAATGCTGTAGACCATTGTGCTCAGATTTGGGTGCATGTTAAAGAACCGTGGTCGAATTTTCTGGATCATTTGACTATACGGCGTTTCTCGTGATCATATGGTGGTTTTGGTACGTTAAACCACACACATAATTCAACCAAGTATTGCCACGTGATTTTTATTTAGGTGGACTTGTGCCCGAGAATCAAGAAGTCACACTATATACCATAGCAATACACGATATACAGAGAACAATAGCGGCGAACGGAGCGTCGGCCTTCGATAATCTGATGCCGGCAGAACGTGTCGTCTTTCATGCAGTAGCCATTCAAATATTCCGCCGTTATCACTGCCGCTCACGTATGCTCTAGAATAACCTTTATGAAATGATCGCAAAAGATCGAAAGCTTGATTGATTGATTGATATGTGGGGTTGAACGTCCCAAAACCACCATATGATTATTAGAGACGCCGTAGTGGAGGACTCGGGAAATTTCGACCACCTGGGGTTCTTTAACGTGCACCCAAATGTGAGCACACGGGCCTACAGCATTTTCGCCTCCATCGGAAATGCAGCCGCCGCAGCCGGGATAGATCGCAAAGCTTCCTGAACATCGTAGGGCAGTCTGTTCGGAGCGCTGCTTTCAGTTCACGTAGGTGAAACCCGAATACGCCAAACTAAAGAAATTGATTGATGATATGATTGATTATTATATAGGGTTTGACGTCCCAAGCCATCATTTGATTCTGAGAGACGCCGTAGTGGAGGGTTCCGGAAATTTTGACCACCTGGGGTTCAAAATAAAGGGAAAAGCACGCGTTACTACACATGTTACAACGACGAATTCTTCTCTGCATGCCTGTAAAGTATTTTGTAAAATGCAATACGTGGTCGACTAAGTTGTTTGTTTGTTTAGTTCGTCAAAGGTGCTTTTAGAGTTGATGCATTTATTAGCTCTAGAAACTTTTACCAAGGCGATAAACTGGATTAGTGGTAAATGTTGAATTGCATAAAAGCAAGCGAGACACACGAAACACAAAGAATAAACACGACGGGACGGGGTAGGACTTACGACTGATCAAAGCATGCCAGAAGCGCACACTTATATCCGCCGCCGACCACCTTGGGCATAAAGTAACCACGCGTGATATAAAACGAAATTCGTACGAGCTATCACGACGTTTGGAAAGCTAATCTCCTTGGCCGACAGGTGCGCTGAAGTATCAAAGAAGCAATCAAAGTCCAACCTCTTTTGATGGCATATGTTACTAAAAACGTTAAATAATCATTTCAAAATTTACTAAATCACAGGTTGCTGGCCAAAGCATTTGCCAAGTGCCACACATGAGTAAACAAAAGCACCGAAAGGAACCTAAGTGTTACTAGATATTTTTACCTTGGCCAGCATCCCACAATTTTTTCAGCGCTGAAAGAATTCATGCGGTTCCGTAAACAAGATAAGTAGGAGAGAAGTTGTGCAAACAAATCTATTAGCCGTAAGTTCTGGGCAAATCAACATAATAAAACACAACATAAAAATGCTCTCACGGGTATGTGGTAGGTTGTCTAATTTCCGTCACGTTCAGAATCTGATTTGAACGACTTAAGTTACATCGTTCCTTTGGCCACTACATTGTTGGCTTTCGTGAAAGATGTTTCTTTTTTTTATATTTTGTTATTACGAAATGCTTTTAGGCTGCGGAATTTTTAATCCAACTAACTAATTCGTTTCTAGTGAAACCAGTGTTATATGTAATGGACGGTTACATCTCGTCACTGCCATTTAGCATGATGATGTCGGGCACATAGACCTACAGGAAAATCCACTCGGAATTTCTGCGATTTGCCGTGATTTCGATGAATACCACCTCCCCGACTCGCCAACAGTACATATTGAATAATAATAATAATAATAATAATAATAATAATAATAATAATAATAATAATAATAATAATAATAATAATAATAATAATAATAATAATAATAATAATAATAACAATAATAATAATAATAATAATAATAATAATAATAATAATAATAATAATAATAATAATAATAATAATAATAATAATAATAGTAATAGTAATAATAATAATAATAATAATAATAATAATAATAATAATCCTGACTAGGCCTACTGGAAAACAAAGGCCTCTCCCGCGTTCCACCTGTCCACCCAGTTCCGTGCTTGCTGCTGCCGCATTATGCACGTAAACTTCTTAATCTCGTCTGTCCACCTAACCTCCTGTCTCCCGCTGGCGCGTTTTTATTCTCTTGGAATCCACTCTGCTACCCTTAATGATCAGTGCCTAATGATCGACCTACGCGCCACGTACCCTGCCCATGTCCTGCACGTGCAAGCGCGAGTGCTGAGAGTAGTGCAAGTGTCAATAATCTTTCCATCTGCTTTTCTGCAGACGAATTCCTCCAGGGCGGCGTCGGACGACGTTCGTGATCAGATTGTGTAAAGTGGTGTGGGTGGACACGCTGCGCATTCTTCTGGTGACAGGTGGATACTACTCCTGCATATATGCCAGGATACCGGCACTAGAGTAAGTGCTCCACGTGCCAAAAGACGATGCCAAATCATTCGCAGCTTAATTAAGTAGACACGATAAAACCTTGACTGCGAACAGAAAAGATGCAAATATCATTATCTATATACGCATAATATGCGTACACGGGCAATGTGCACGACGGTTCAGATTAGCATAACGACGTTTGTTGTATAAGCTAATGTTTCCACAGAGGCTTTTTTTTTTCGTGTGTGAAATGCTGCCTTTAAGTAAAATTGAGTCAATTCATCTAACCGAAATAAGAGCACAGAAGAAAGCCTTTACTCTAATCTTTGATTTACTTTCAATTCTCATTTGATTCACCATTGATTGACTTACATCGCTATATTACTTGCTGTGTAGTAAATTCGCATTTCATTCATCTTTAGGATTAACCTTGACTGACAAGTAGTTCACTTTTATTTCACCTTATTTGACTTTTTTGTTTTCTATTATTGATATGATTCACCATCAATTGATGTGCATAAGAGCGGATGAGACTTCGTTTGGTTAAAACATTCAGTTGTGGAAATTTTCATCCACTTGAGGATTTTATATCCTTCAAAATATATATCACACTTGGACACTAGCGATTAAAAAGAATTTTTTGCTCCTACTTTTCTCTCACACTCAAAAGAAATGCGTGCGTGCCCATACGTTAGTTCAAAGTTTTTCGCAAATTAGTTTTGTTCGAATTCACATACCGTTTTCTCGAGAACTATAAAATGTAAGCATACAAAAAATTTAACATGTGTTAATTATTGGCATTTACTTACCTGCAACGAGAGCTTAATTTGGGCGAGTTGGTTCGTCGTGGTTGTGTTCTAGTAACAGCGTGACAACTTCAGCAAGTAGACACGATAAGCGCTCTTTCCTGTCCTTTTTGTCTCTTCTTAAAATTGTCGCGCTGTTGCTACAACACAATTACACAACTGCTACGGCTCAGTGACCTTGTGGGTGCATTTTTATTTTTTAGTTGAGAAACAATCATAAGTGGTAATTTTCATGCGTCGACGAAGATCAAAATAAATGAAAAAATCTGGCTTTTTTGTCGTAGACCTGCAATTTTAGCTCCACTTTCATAAGACGTATGTTGCTCTGTTCTTAGAAAATCGCAATGCCCCTCAGATAGCAGACTTCATAAAAAAACAGCATATGTAGAAAAAGAATGTTAGAAATTAAAAATAATAAACGCCATTTGTAACTAATTTTGAGCTATAACGCAACCTGCTTCTACATTTAAAAGCCCTTGCAAAATTTATCGCCATATCTTTCACTACCACTGCCGTACAGCTAAAAGTGGAAACTCTCTTTCAAACTCTCAGCCCATCTTTAATGACCTGGACATTTCATTAGTCGCAAATTATTGTTTGATTCACTTTTAGTATTAGGCATGCTTAACTTGTGGTTGATCTTGAAATTACCTCAATTCACCTTTGATTCTGATGTGTTCACCTTAATTCTCGTTTGATTGATCTTCTGCACTCTATCGCTTCATGTATCTTCCTCTCTCTCACCTTTCTATGACTCTTTACCAACTTGCCAGCGTAGAGTAGCCAACCGGAATATCTTCTAGTTAACCTCTTTGTCCTCTCTACCTTTCGGCTGCCTTCCTTCCAACTACTTGTCAAACGCTGCATGCTTAATTCCCCATTGATATACGTTTAGTTAACGTTGATTCTGAACCATGGAATACGGATATACGCCAGAGTGCTACTTTTGGCTCAATTCGTGAGTTCGATGCAACCTTCATTAATCTTTTTTGTTTCGTGCGATTATTACGCACTCAGGACCTCCATCCTCATTTCTACTTTCCTGTTGACAACATATGGTTAGCTTAAGTTTGACACTTGATGTGTCTCGTCATCCCACCAGCTGAAATCACGTCAAAAAATAATTCTTTCTTATCTGAGAGCATAAATTGTTCGCAGCGTGAACAAGATTCTACATGCTGTTTTTTTTTGGTCTGTACTCGACAGGCTGCTGATAAATAGCCGCGATAAGGTAGGCTTGACGGCAGCGGTGCTACTCTTCGCCGCGGCAACCACCTTCGAGCTTCTTATCTCCTGCTACCAAATGGACATCCTGACCACGTACGCCATCAGGATTCGCTCCATGGTTCAAGGGCTTACCTTCAAGAAGGTACGGCTCTTTTTCAGTAGTTCTGGCAACTGTAACACTTGTCGTTATTGTTAAGCCCGACGTTCAAAGCCCCTGAAATGACAGACGATGAGCTCCCACGCATGCGCAGTGCACGTGTACAGACAGCGCTGTGTGCTTCTTATCGCTGCCCTGTATTGGCACGCTGTTCTTCACGCCCAGTGTGTAACAGGCCCACGATCAGTGTTACCACTTCACCGCCCTTTCCATCTTTCACCACCTTTCTCATCGCAATTCCATTCACGGACGTGCACATCTGTGCACATGGCGCACATGGCGCAGCTGCGCACAGGCTGCGCCATTGGTAACGCGTGGTCAAACACATACGTGAAGGTTTTTCTTCGCAGGTGACCAACATGTCAGCTGGCACCAAGGCCAGCTACCCGGCGGGCCACATCGGCTCGCTGTTGAGTGTCGACTGTGGCGTGCTCGCCAGTTGCGCCTACGCCATACCCGTGCCCCTGCTCGGTGTGCTGCTCTATCCTTTCCTCTTTTCGATGCTTGCCTCTCGAGCCGGTCTCTGGCCGTCGCTGTGCACTGCCGCCTGGGCCGTGCTAGTGCTGGGGTTGCCCTTTTTCGGCTCATTTATTCAGAAGAAGTTCTGGGTGAGTGTCCGAACGTTTCCGTGAATGGATGTGTGCCCTTTCTCAACATCACAAGCAACTATAGAAACAGACCAGGAGAGGCGGAACACTCTTTGTCCCCTTCCTTGCGCTGTTTCCCAATTTTTTGCAAACAAACAGACAAAATTATCAATTCATTGTCATATGAGAGGTCATACCTTGTACCCCTGTGAAACACTAGAGATGGCCACGGTGACAAGAGAGTCAGAATAGTGTGTTCTTAGTGAAATGCACCTACAGGAACCACTGTCTTCATATCTTTGCTCCATTGAAATGCAACAGCCGCGGCTGGTATGAAACCCATGTCCAGCGGGTGAGCAGAGTGTACCGTAACCCTTGATCCACTTTGGTGCACTTTTGGGGGTTATTATGGCAATGTAGAAGTTCAGGGGAGAATGCATGAAATCTTGAAGCAATGAACATTATTTTGCACACGAAGTATTGCTGGAGCTAACACCAGGTGTCGTTTTGATGTTTCGCTGAATTATAGTTGTCACAAGGAAGTACCACTTGACAATGATAACTTTACGGCAGTGCCTTTTACGGGGACGCCTGCCTTTACTACTTTAGGGGGGGGGGGGAGGGAGGGAGAGAGAGGCTTCAATCAGCTGCGCGTCCTATTACCAGTTGCAGCGTTGAAGAGGACAAGTCCTCTTTTCGAAACGCGAGCTCCAGTGACAACCCGTGGTGCAAGAATTTTTTATCGTTTGAGATGGTCGGCGATTTTGGTTCCTTGTGGGACTAGCCGTGTTTTGCATGTTTCCGTTGAACGGATATGCATAGGAATTGATCGATAATTTGTAAAAGAGTAATTAATTTGTTAATCACTCTTAAATTTACATGTTCGATAATTTGTGAAAGAGTAATTAATTTGTTAATGACTCTTAAATTTACATGTTCGTGGTGATGCTTCTTGAACAACACCATACCGCAATTTCTGCCGCATTAACACGTGTGGAGCTGTTCGTGTGTATGTGTGTTTTCTTTCTCCGGCATAATGTTACTATAATGCGTTTTTTTTTTGTCTTTACAAATTATTGCCGTTTTCTAAAGCTGGAGAGCCTTGTCTTGTTCTCCTGCGTTCTTAAACGTATTGTTAAATTATGTTGCTATACTGTTGACACATCGCTGCTGTTGTCGCCATTGAGGAGGCCTGCGACCTCGTCAAGCTCTCTGAACGACAGCTTTTTCCACCCACCTCTTCGTATCGTATTACGCAGTATTGATGTAAAAAATACATCATTGTCATTGCCCCTTTAACGAATTCTCATTTAAAATTTCTTGCGGCCTACAACTCGAACAAGGTAAACAGAACAACCTGTCGTCGTCATGAACTTTCAGAAAAAGGCGATCAAGGCTCGTGACGAGCGACTCAAGGCCACTACCGACCTGTTGTCCACCATCCGCGTGGTCAAAATGTACGCCTGGGAAGACGCTCTGCGAGAGAATGTGCAACGGACCAGGGATGTCGAGCTAAAGTGGCTCCTCAGGGTCAACATGCTGGACGCCATCTTCGACTGCATCTACAACTCCACAAGTTCAGTGGTACGTGCATCGTGTCACTCATCATTAACGTAGTGTAGCCCTATATAGCGACGCATAGCGCGTTCTAATCTGGTCGAGTCGTCAGTAATGGATAAGCGCATTCATTAAACTACAGCGTAAGATAAAATCTAATGAAGCCAAGTGACAATAAAGCTAAGGAACGAATAGGGGATATTGAAAAAAAAAATAATTGAAGCAGCTTCGCTCTATGGTGGCCAAGCCCGCAGAAAGGGCGAAACGAATGATGATGATGATAATGATGATGATGATGATGCCTAAGCAATGGCTTACACACACTCGGGAGAATCGGCCAAGAATCGGTTATGTAAGTTTTGGTCCTTTCAAGTATTAAATAATCCTAACAAAAAGAGGAAGGAGCGTACTTGGGCAGCCTTCTGTTGTTTTTTTATTTTTCTTTTCTCCTCTCTTTATTTCTATTTGTTTATTTCTCCCGCTTTATATATTTCCCTCTATTTCTTGCTGTTTCAATTTCCTTACTTGCTATTATTAGTATGATGTCATTGTTGCTTGGCGTAACACTCCATGCGTAAGATCTTGAGCACACAGTTGCGCCGTGTAAAAATCTTATTCCACTTGTTCTTTGCGCGCCTTGACGATGGTTACTTACCATCATCAGCAAAAATCAACTAGTTGCGCGTGGCGTGATAGAGGTGAAACCATGCACGGAAATAGATATAAAAAAGGAAGCAAGCGCGGTCAAGCAAGTGAGATAAGGGCAAAATTGAGAATAAAGATTGAAAGAGCGAAAGAGAAAGAGTGAACTAGACGTAGAGAGGTAGAAATAAATATAAAGAGAAAAGAAGACCGACAAAAAACTAGAAAGGAGAAAAAGAGAGAGACGGGAGGAAAGAAGAAATCCAACGAGAAATGAAAAAGGCTGCTCAGCTCCACGTTTCCACCAGGCTTGACGCAACTAGGGCAAACTGCCTTAATTTTTTTTTCCTTTTTTACGTGGTCGCTTACACTCTTCATTAAGCTTGAGACTACGACACTTCAATCAGCTTTACTCGTCTTACTTATGAGTCGAATTCACTTGAATCTGTCATCGCTGTTAATGTTATCAGTTTTGTCGCTGTTGTCAAATCTGCTTACTTTTTTTTTCCCGTAACCTGCCCTTCAGCTCATGATCATCCTGTTCTCGACGCTCTACCTGCTGGAACCCAACCTAGTGCTCACCCCAGCGTTGTCCTTCTCCAGTGTCTCGCTACTCTACATGACCGATCTCAGCATGAACGGATGCGGACAGGCGCTGAGGAATTTAAGTCAGGTGAGAGAATTGACACCTCTTCGCACGTTCGTATGACTTCTATTGGAAGCGAAGACCGAGAGTTGAAAAGGAAAGCGGCCCCGCCGCGTGCATGGTCTAGTGGCTAAGGTCGCGGGATCGAATCTTGGCTGTGGAGGCTGCATTTCTGATGGTGGCGGAAAATGTTGTGGGCCCATGTGCTCAGATTTGTGTGCACGTCAAAGAGCCCCAGGTGGTCTGAATTTCCGAAGCTCTTCGCTACGCGCGTCTCTCATAATCACATGGCGGTTTTGAGACATTAAACCCGACGTTTCAATCAAAACAAAGCGTGTAAATATACACAGTACACCATTGTAACCATCTGCAAAGTGGGCGAAAAATGGCGGAGTGATAATTCGATTATCACAGCAGTCACGAAATCTATGGTGCGAGGCGTGGACGCGTTGTCAAGGCGCCAGGGGACGCCCATTAACAGGAAGCTCTATATTATCATATTTTAAGTAAATAATATTGGACAAAATATATCAAAAGGAGGACTCTTCAATTTGATTCATCATTCTCTTGGTATTTTGGTGTAAAAAGTATTTCACACCGAAATACGGGTATTTCGGTGTAAAAAGTTAATGTACGTAAGAACACGTAATTTGTCATATGAATGTGCCTCCTTGGATGATTGGCAACTACCCACTCAGGGAGGTTCATCAAGAGTCGAACGGATCATACAGTCCAAAGTATTTAAAAGTGCTAATAGAGGTTACAGATGTAATTAAACATAAACGTTAATGGTGATGAATATGAACTTTAGCCTATACGTCGTAGCGTAACCGAAGCGCTCCGGTTAAGCTCCGGTTACAGAGCGCTTCGGTAACCGGAGCGTAACCTCCGTAGCGTAACCTCCAATACCCCGGCCCTTGTATTTGTGTCTTTTTCATTGTTGCGTGTCGTTTAGCTGCTTGTTTCATAATTATGAACTATTAAGCGAACTATCAAGTTTCACGTATATAATGTTCTCCACTGCGGTAGTGATGGCTTCAGTGATTTGTGTTCACTTTTTACAGGGCATGTTATCTCTCAAGAGAATTGCTGATTTTTGCATGACAGAAGAGCAAGAAGAAAATGCAGTCGATTCCCGAAGCCACTTGCCAACGAAGAAAGGTAAGATGTTAAGCGATCGCCAGGGTGTTTTGTTCAAGAAGCAAGCTTACTATGAAGTGCATTTCTTCGTTATTCTATATTCAATATACCTCACATACATCTTATCGTAGCATTGTGCAGGTGGAAAAAGGCGGCACTTATCATTACACCAATTTAAGAGAGCAGAAAAGTACTTTACGGTGACTAACTGGAAGAGTTACTCTTTATTCCATTTAATGTGTGCTTTATTGTTGGGTGAATTTAGGAAAAAAATTGACAAATGTTGTGTCTCTTTTTTTATCTTACAATTTTTTTTTGCTTTGACGTCGTAGTTTAATTCATACTGTTTTATGTAAGCACTTGTATAATTTTCTGTTACTGTGATGATTTTCACTTGACTGCTACGTTTCGCTATGTATACTTCTAAGTGGAAGGTATATAATAAGCTGCATATATAACAGGTGCTCAAGAGGATGGTATATATCAGCTACATTTTAGCGGTACTTACTTACGGCGCAGAAACACAGGGGACTACAAAGACGGTTCAACTTAGATTGAGGATGACGAAGTGAGCAGCGGAAAGGGAAATGATAGCTGTAGCCATAAGGGACTAGAAAAGCGCATAGTCGGTCAGGGAACACAAACGAGTGTTAAGGACATCATAGTCGAAATCGAGAAAGATATGGTCATGGGCAGGGCACGTAGCGTGAAGGAAAGATAACCACTGGTAATTAAGGATCACAAAGGGGATTCCAAGAGAGAAGGCAAGTGGGTGAGGGGGGAGAAAGTTGGATGGGCAGATGAGATTATGAAGTTTGCGGGTATGAAGTGGCAGCAGCAAGCACAGGAACGAGTTTACTGGCGGAACATGGAAGGGGCCTTTGTTCTGCAGTGTGCGTAGTCAGGCTTCTGCTGCTGATGTTGATGATGATGATTACGAAGTGTTTACGACCATGATTTGTCTTTGTAAAGGAGATCCCGATACAGAGTCTTCACTATGGCACCTCATTTTGTATACTGAATGCCTGTAACATTAACCAAGCACAAGTACAACGTATGTGATAAACACAGAAAAAAATGAAATCTAATATTTACATACTGGAATGCGCGCTGCGTTATTGCGATGTGTTCGAGTGCCGAAACGGGATGAGTATCACAAATGTAGAAAAAATAAATAAGCAAGGAACATGAAAAAAAAACAGGGAAAAAATTTTAGGTAATATCTTTTTTATTGAAAAGTATGTACTTCAGTTTAAAATCAACATCGAATGAATGCTGAAATTGCTACGTGCCTAACAGTAAAAAAAATCCTAACATGTATTTTCGTATAGGAGTAACTAGAGAAGTTATTGCACCAATCTTGAAATGGGAGTTTGGTTTCTGGGTCAAATAATGCTCTCGGTAATGGTGAGTCTGTGTGGACGTGTTCGTGTTTGTTTGGTCTTACTTTCATTTTTCCTCCTTTCTGCACGTTCAAAGCGCGCACCTATACATAGATTGATAGACGGAATTGATGTATATTTTCTAAGAGCATTTATCGTGTCGCTATCTCGCAGCGATAAAGGCGTGATATAGCCTAGCCTATTTGATGGTCAAATTTTTGTGTGATAATGATTATGGTTAAAGACAAAACTTACTGGTGAACTAGTTGGTTAATATTATAAATTAATGCTAATAATACAAATAACAGGATTTAATACTGATATGACCATTTTGACAATGGAATATTTATTATAAATGGCAAAAATGGGGATTAGCATGTGCGCATGATCGAAGTGGGCAGGGGTATGAAGGGCTGGAAAGTCGCGCTTATGGATGAACAATAAATCGTTGTGGTAAAGTGAGTGAAAAAACGATAGTCGAGTAAAAGGCAGCGTAGTCGACGTTGTTAGTATAAGCCGGTGTGCATTGCTACATTTTCAAAAACACGTCAATTCACCTACCAACGCTTGGCTCAAAGCCAAAAAAACAAAACAAAAAGGCTGCTTCGAATGCCACCGACTATCAAAAAGCGTGGGATCCACCAAACTTTTTGTTACCATTTCTAGCATCTTGATTTAAAACAAAAACGGCAGTAAAGGGAAAATGGAAGCTTGCGATGGAAAATATTCGTAAACAGAGGTTGTGGGGTCAAGCCGACTTTTCTGCAAGTGTACTTGTTTTTTTCAAGGCTGAACGAATTGTCTTCTTCAGGGAAGTCTGTCTTCGAAAAAGACAAGCCGACGAGTTGAAATGCCGGCTCAGCACAGGCAAATAACGACTGTCTCACACTCGCCTCAATGACAACAGGCGGCGCTGACTGACGCTCCTATGTTTAAATACACATTTATATTCCACATAAAGTGGGCAGAGGAATAGCCTCTGTGGTCCAGTTGGTAGAGGATCGGGCGCGTTATTCGAAGGTCACAGGTTTGGCCCCTGCTCACAGCAAGTTATCTTTTTGTGCATATTTATTTCATCACAATTAAATTTCAATTGCTTCTATTACCATCGTTTATACTTTCCTTGGTATAACTGTCTGTCAGTTCTCATTAACCACTGTTTACGATTTTTTATTCTCTAGCATGTGACCAAGATCTATTAGAGGAGATGCCATGATTGCAGCGTATTCTGGGCAAGGCCAGATCAATGAATCGAACGCGCGCCATCTTGAGTCCTCATTAGTAAAATGAAAGTGTTAGACGGGCTATTCCTTACTCATCAATCTGTTGCACACCTATATCTTAACTGGATTCGCATAGCGTTCATTTTATTTCAAAAATAGGACCAGTGATCCTGGGATGTAATCATGTATCTTGAGACCAGTTGACAATTTTTCTCGCTATTTGCCTCGCCATAGGTTCTGTGACAATTCAGGAATGTTCCTTTTCGTGGGGCAAGCGGGAAGATGACGAAACGGATGTTCACCTTAATGACGTCAACCTGAACATTGAACCGGGATCACTCATAGGCATAGTCGGTTTCGTCGGCAGCGGCAAGTCATCGCTCTTAGCCGCCATACTGGGAGACATGCACCGTGTCAAAGGCAAGGTCACTTGCATGGTGAGTCTGGCATCGTTAGACAAGAAAGTGCTGTTGCTATGACTGTTTTATTATGTAACGGAAAATCACAATCGTCGTGAAAACGTTCGAGAAACGTTTGATCCTCGGGAATAATACCTCTGGGCTACAATTACCGTTGCAGTTAACGCATGTACTGACTAACCATCGCCATAATCATCCTTGGCCCGTCTCGTGTAGTCACTGTTCATACCGGTGGGCTGGAAGTAGGAATTCAAAGCTTTAGTAAGTGAGATCGACACTAGCGAGTTAGGCTGTGCTGGGGACCCCAAGCGCATGTGTACGCAGGTCTTTTGTACTTCCAGCCGCACCCAAGGGCAATACAAGGGAAAACGAAAGCTTGCGACCAGCAGCCGCTTTGGCCATCCAGCACAAAAGCTCTCTACTATCCCTAGCGTCCTGGAGGAAGTACCAAGCGCACAGACCAGCAAACGACGACTACTGTGAATCTGAAATATTTTACATTTTAGTTCCTTAGCGCGCAGTCAATAACAGCACGTATATGTATAATGGTACGTTTAAATCTTCAAGTGCATGTTGCTGCTTTGTGCTGCATAAAGCACGAAATATATATAAAAGATGACGGCCACCATAGTGGTCTAGTGGTTTGGTATCTTCTTTCCGACCCTTTTCCCCACCCCCGTACAGGGTAGCAAACCAGTTCGTCTAGGCTAACCTCCCTGTCTCTTCCTTTTATTTATTTCTCGCTCGCTTTGGTATTCGACTGCTGACCCACAGGCCACGAGATCAAAATCCAGCCGTACCAGTCGCATTTAGATGCAGGCGGAAGGCTAGAGGTTCGTGTAGCTGTGTTTAAGTACACGTTTAAAGAGCCCCAAGTGGTCGAAATTTTACGAGCAGCCACTATGACATCCCTCAAAATTGTATCCGAGTTTTGGGGTGTAAGACATCCGTAATTATACTTCAAAGAAGCCAAGATGCCTTCTTTACCATTTCAGGGACGTGTTGCATTTGCACCACAGTTGCCAAATGTGCACAACATGACAATCAGGGACAATATTCTTTACGGAAAGCCTCTGGATCCTGGATTCTACGAGCAAGTGGTCAGGAGTTGTCAGTTGCTGAATGACTTCAATAAGCTGCAAGCCGGCGACATGACCGAGGTCGGCGAGAAGGTAGGACTGGACCGTGGTCTATCTGACAAGACAGGCATTTTAAATATTGGGACGCATTGCGAGCGTGACTGCAGGACAATTCACGCTATTGCATTGTAGAGTGTGGAGATAGAAAAGCAAGGCACTTATGGTATTCATACACAAATGAACTGTCTAAGGAATCACTGCAAATAGCAGTGCATCAACCACTTAAACTAATTATTTTTAAATGTGTATGGTTACTAGCAGACAAGATTATGTTTCAACTCCTAGGTTCCGCCAGTTGGGATTCTCATGTAAGCAATTTTACAATTTGTACGTAGTGACTTCAACATTATGTCGCTGTAATAACACGCCATGTTTATCCACGCAACCATTTTCTCAGCAACTATATGAAGCCAACATTTCAACTCGTATCATGCTTCAGTAAAATAACGCACTTACGAGAGTCTTCTTCGTGTCTGTGAAATATAGCAGGAGGTACACCCTTCTCCTTCCCTTACTACGATCTAAAACTTGCTCGAACATGATGTAGCGAGTTGTGTTTTAAGAAGTAACACTACGCAATAAATAAGCATTGAAAGTATGTTTGTTAAGCCTTTCTGTAGAGCTAAGGTTATCGCGGCTCTGCCTATTGACGCAGGGGTCGAACCTCAGTGGCGGACAGAAGCAGCGAATTTCTTTAGCCCGTGCTGCCTACAGCCAGAGTGACATCTACTTGCTGGATGACCCGCTCAGCGCCCTTGATCCCGTTGTGGGCAGCAGAGTGTTCAGGGATGTCATTGGGAATCATGGCATGCTAGGCGACAAGGTACCTACTGTCTTCTCAAAGACGTTACTTAGTCAACTATAAAATACTGGGTTGTTCCTCTGGCAGTGTTGCTCTTATGAAACATTGAAACGCCAAGCATTATGCGAAATGGTTTTTAAGCGCCCCTATTTACAATGTCATTCATTCTTTCCACAAGTGTATTGCTGAGCTTTAGTTTGTCCACAAACTTCCTCGCGTTAACATTTCGTTTGATTACCGTGGCAACAAACATGAGGGGTCAGAATAGGCGGTGCCATCTAGTGGAGCTGAGACCAACCAGAGAAGCTCAAAACCAGGAAAGTGTAAATGTTTGGCAGCGGTGTAAATCGAATGCTTTGGTCCTCAAATGTTTTAACGTTAAGCGCACTCGGCCAAACGATCACTTAGTGGTTGGCCAGCAATTATATTAGTTTAAAATGTCCATAATATTCACTAACACCATCCCCATTACAATAGTCATGTTTTCGTACGTATACGGATCACCTCGCCAAGCTAACTCTTTTCGACACTGCTGTACGCAAAAGCGGAACGGCGATGCCGTTGCCAAAACGGTGACGTAGTCATGACACTCCTAAAACAGCCCAATATATTTTGCAGACACGAATCATGGTCTGCAACCAAGGACACTACTTGCACAACATGGACAAGCTGGTCCTAGTGGACGGAGGGCGCATCAGGGTCTACGACACACTCGAAGACCTCATCGCGGACCCGGACTCGCCAAGGAACTTCCGAGAAGCTCTCGAACAACGGCGTTCTCGCGATCAGAGCAAAACAGGGTGAGAATAGAGCCTACAATTGAGATGATGTTGTAAGTATTTCGCATTGAGTTCGTTTTGCTTACCATATAGAATGAAAAATCGAGTTTTCAAAAAAGTGGGAAAGCGGGGGGGGGGGCATTGCATTTAGGCATTGCATCCTCCGGGTGCAATGTCTAAATCCTCTCTTGTAGAGTGAATTCTCCTCTGTCATTTGAATGGTGATTGCGGAGAGATGGGAATCACGTCACATGTCACATTGCTAATCCGTCCTTGATCACGTCCGTCGTGTGAATGCAGCTTTACGATACGCCGTGTTCAGGTATGTGGTAAAGCTTCAGTTGCAGCAACGGTTAAATAATGATCACGTGTGGTAGTCATCACCATGGAGACGTTCCGATTGGGCACCAACACGGCTGTGTCGACATCAAATGGTGCTATAGGTGTGAGACGGCAGTAAATATTGTAGATCTGGTATATCACTACACAATGAAGACTACTTTCATGAAAACGCGTTTAACATTCGTGTTAAAGCGATTCCTACGGCGGAGAAATCAGCCATGCTTTCTTTTTTTCACTGATTCTAGCAATTGACATTATCGCCATCGTTTGAATACTTCGCATTTATTTTTCAGCACTTCTAACGAGGAGATGACAGAAAATGACACGGTTGGACGAATTACTCAGGAAGAACTTGGAGAATCCACAAAAGTGAGAATGAAATCGATCTGTTTCTCCGCGTGAACTCATTACGAGACTAAAAAATAGCGCCTCAAAGAAATGCAGTTCGAAGGCAGGAAATCGGTTTCCTTGTCACTTTCAATTTTTTTTCGGCCATGGCTATGCCCCTGTTGCTACTAAATAACCCACTCGCAAAACCTACATGGTTTGCTCAGACACTGAGCAACTACGGATCTTAACGAAGACACGCGCAAACGCGCAAGTGATGTGAACCTGCTGAAACTTTCATTATTTACGTCCGCAGTTAAATGTTGGAACAAACTGTAAAACAATTGCACAATAAAAAAACACGGCTGAGTATATTTCCTGCTGTTGTCAAATATCCTTTGTTATTTTGATCATATATGATAACAACTTGGGAGCCAGCAGTTTTTACAGATGATTAATGAACGAGATATTTCTGCGTTTGCGTCAACACCTGTTCCTTGACAAACTTCTCCATGCTCACATCCAGAATTTGAAAATGGTGACGTCGTTGCATGTATTTACTACCAATGGCACCGTGACATCCGTTCCGCGCTGAGGTGAGTTAACTGGAAATGTGCTTGCATTTCTACCAATGGCACCGTGACATCCGTTCCGCGTTGAGGTGTGTTAACTGGAAATGTGCTTCCATTTCTACCAATGGGACCGTGACATCCATTCCGCGTTGAGGTGTGTTAACTGGAAATGTGCTTCCATTTCTACCAATGGCACCGTGACATCCATTCCGCTTTGAGGTGTGTTCAACTGGAAATGTGCTTCCATTTGTACTACAGACAGGCTGGCAGCTTCTACGAAACCTGTTGCGCCTGACTCAGTGGCCGGCGCTCACCGGAGTGCTGGTGTTTGTGGCAGCTGCGTGTGCCTTTGCCTTCGAGCAGATCTGGATCAAGGAGTGGACGGACTCGTCAAGCCGCGCAGACACGAGCTCAACAGTCGATCAACTGCCGTGGGTTCAAGTGCTCGTATCACTCTGCATAATAGATGGTATGCTACTTCAAACGCTGCATTTGTAAAATTTTCGGTGGGCCTACTTGGTACGTAGCATTCAAGGTGAAAACTTCAGTGCAAACCAAGAAAGGCAACAAAGGCCAGAATAGAGTGTCTAAGCTTGGCTCTTCTGTTCTTTGTGGTCCGTCTTCGTTTAAGCTGATGTTTCACATTAAATACTGCCTTTGCCACTTCAATGTTACGTCACCTCTAACCGGTTCAAAAGAGGAAAAGAGAATAAATGACGGGTCAGAGGAAGCCAAATGTGTGATACCTAGATTTTTGGCAGTGAATGACACTGCGTTCTTTTTGAAGCTTTTTGGGGTTAATCTCTAAAAGATCTCTGATCCGAGTTGCACTGACGGTCGCAGTTACTACTTCTGACACTAAAACGTATCATCACCTTAATGTTTTCATTATGGACACATGAAAGGCGTTTATATCTTTGTCATATAAAGAAATCTAGGCGTGAATAAATGGTCTGAAGTTTGAAATTTGTTTCACTACAGTGTTACATTGTTTACATTTTTACACCCTCATGCATTAAGCGAAGATACATTGTGTGTTGTTTAATGCGTAAAAAAATCGGCAATATCAACAAAGCTTGACTAGTAAAACGAGGAAGGCAACTGACCGAACACGCGTCATATGCACCTCCTTTGTTTTCTTCTCTCATGTCCGCGTATGCGCACGTAATTGCTTTCGTTGTTGAACTGCTACAAACTGGCACAGTATTTTGTGGTTCTAAAGCACAATAATTTGTAAAGCAAACTTTCCACTCATGACCGCTATCATGATTACGTAATCTATGAAAGTCTGTTTTCAATGGGAGTTTGCAACAAGCTTTATGAATATTGTATACATATAGCATCACTATAGTAGCAGATACTGAACAAAGCCATCCTAATAATTAGTTTAGGATTACTTTCCACCTGAAGGATGTCCTTGTGGCTCAGGTTAGCAAACGTGAAGATTCAGGATGTACTTGGAGGCATACATTTAAAATGTATCTGGTGACTCAACCCCTTGAGCACGTCATTCAGGACGTACTTCAACAAGGCATTGACCGCATCTTGACCACACTTTGGCGCAGTGGCTCTCCGCATCATTGGGAGCGTTCTGCTGAGCCTCTCCGCAAAACGACTGTCCGGCTCGATACACAACGAAATGCTGGATCACGTGCTGCGCAGTCCCGTGTCCTTCTTCGACGCCTCTCCGCGCGGGAGGATATTGAACCGTTTCTCGGCTGACATGGACTTCGTGGATTCGCGGTGTTTCCTGAGTGCCAAGCAAGCCGTACAAAACACGCTCATCACTCTCGCCAAGGTAGCCGTCATCGGGACCCAGTCGCCCGTCGTATTGGGCGTCACAGCCGTGGTCATTGTACTTGCCGGATACGGAATGGTCAGTGTGCCGCATTCTTCACACTCACATTGTAGTGCAGTCGGTTTTCAAGAAGTAATAATTGCTGAAGGACAACGCGAACAGCCCTTGAGACCCAATTTCGAGACATTTAACATCCCGACATGCAGTGGCACTTGTTATCTCGTTAACCCTAATCAAGTGCTGAGATTTTACGCTCCGAAACTATGATATGGCTTATGTGTCACGCCGTAGTAGGATACGCCAAACAATCAAATCGCATTTTTTAAAGGAACACCAAAAAGAAACAATTGGTTTAGATTGATAATCTGCCTTTTGAGGTCTCTAATGTCAAAGGTCTCGCTATTTTAAGTTTATTATTAACGAGAAAAAATCAAGTTTCCAGTTTCATTTTTAAATCTCACACCAAAAGCTCCATGCGTGACGTAACACTTTCAAAATGTATTTCTCATATTTTTGCAACATTTGCTCTTTCAAATTCCTTGAAACTTCAGATTCTTCACCGATGGCGCTCACAGATGACAATGTGGTTCAATTTTACTTATTAGAAGCTGCGTAGTACCCACTAGATGCCTTCAGAACTTATGACGTCACGGCATGTGGTGCGGGAATCTCAATGTGGCGTCTCCACCTGCTATTCATTTTCGCGCGTTTCCTCTCTTATCAAAGCGTCGCCACGCGGTAAAAGTGGTGTCTTCGGGATCACGAAATCGTATTTTACTGATACGCGAAAAAACTGTTTTGCTCTTTAGTGTCCCTTTAACGTGCGCCTTAGTCTCACCACATGGACACTCTTTGCATTCTATGCACATCGAAATGCGTTTGCTGCAAACCGTAATTGAACGCAAGCCTTCGAACTTGATAGCGCGACAGTTTACGTGCTAAGCTACCACTGCTAGTTGTCAGATTGTTTGAATGTGAGTTACCAGGTTAAGTCGTTGGGCCGTGCTTGACAAACCTATAGGGTGCTTATTCAATACTGCATTAAAGCGAGATATTCGTTGTATTAGGTCAAAAACTTAGAAAACCCTTATTTGCGTTATGTGCACTCATTGAATGCCTCCAGCTCAATTCGTGCTCTTGTCTTTGTACTACTGTACTTTTCTCGTACCTTTGTAATTCGAATCTTTGTAGACAAGCCACAAAGCGAAGGATCATCATCATTATCATCATCAGCATTATCTTCATCATCATCATCATCAGATACGACCTTGCAGGACAAAGGCCTCTCCCATGTTCCGCCAGTTAACTCGGTCCTGTGCTTGTAGCTGCCAATTTATACCCGCAAACTTCTTAATCTCATCTACCCACCTAGCCTTCTGTCTCCCCCTAACCCGCTTGCCTTCTCTGGGAATCCAATTAGTTACCCTTAATGACCAGCGGTTATCCTGCCTACGCGCTACATGCCCGGCCCATGTTCAATTCCTCTTCTTGATTTCAACTATGATATCCTTAACCCCTGTTTGTTCCCTAATCCACTCTGCCCTCTTCTTATCTCTTTAGGTTACACCTACCATTATTCTTTCCATTGCTCGCTGCGTCGTCCTCAATTTAAGCTGCATTTATACACGTCCCATCAAATATTCTAGCGTTATCACTATTGGCAACGTAGGTTCCAGAATAATCTGTTATGTTGGCATAGCAGGCGTAATCCTTGAAATGATCTACTATACAGTTCCGACCCTTCTCGAACATTGCGGACGCAGTTTGCGCTGAGAATTACGTACAGTGCAAGCGGGTGGTAAGAAAACTTGAGGAAGGAACGTGGCAACATGGCTTTAGAGTTCTCATGGTGCATGTTGTCGAAAATCGTGATGGGAGCTGACAGATTGAAACGACGTAGTGGAATAATCCAGGTGAACAGTGGAAGTGCCTCAGACTGGCTGGCCGACGTTTCGATAGGAGGACCCATCTTTTTCAAAGGCGCCGTGTTATCCTTGGCGTGTTAGTTTTGAAAGGGTTAGTGGTGACGTCATCTCCTGGTGGTGGCGCGTGTCCCTAACATCGAAACGGCGGCCAGCCAGTCTGAGGCACTTGCACTGTTCACCCTGATTATACCACTACATAGCGCATTAGAAGTGTGGCAGCTTGGGCTAGTTGGTATGGCCTGACGATAGTTATAGCGCGAGAACAAAACGACGACACAGAGAGAAGAAGGACACGTGTCTTTCGTGTCCTTCTTGTCTCTGTGTCATCGTTTTGTTCTCGCGCTATAACTATCGTCATACATAGTGCAGTTTTGTAATTCTAAAACCAGCTCATTGTGCTTCTTTAGTGTATACTTCCAACATCTGCTACTTTTCAACGTCTTCGCAGAATCTGGCCGTGAAGGCTTCGCACTGCGCCCGTTTCTACGAGAGCGTGGCGACGTCGCGCCTTCTGCAGCACGTCACCGAGACCGTGGACGCGCTGAGCAGTGTGCGAACGTACGGCGTGGCCGATCGCTTCCGGAGTCACTTCTGCCGCCTGACGGACGACTCCATGCGAGGCTTCGCGGGCTTCGGTGCAGCCTACCGTTTCACGCGCACCGTCACTTCGGCGGCCGGCTTCGTGGTCGTCGTGTGCACGCTCCTCGCCAGCACGGTGTTCGTCGGACCCGACGGACCGGACCCCAGCAGCGTCGGCCTGGCGCTCAGCTCGGCCACCTCGGTAGGCGAACTCGCCTCATTGCCCTGCCCCGGTGGTCTAGTGGCTAAGGTACTCGGCTGCTGACCCGCAGGTCACGGGATCAAAACCAGGCTGCGGAGACTGCATTTCCGATGGAGGCGGAAATGTTGTAGGCCCGTGTGCTCAGATTTGGGCGCACGTTAAAGAACCCCAGGTGGTCGAAATTTCCGGAGCCCTCCACTACGGCGTCTCTCATAATCATATGGTGGTTTTGGGACGTTAAATCCCACATATCAATCAATCAACTTGCTTCATTTACAGATGTAATTGTAGCGCGAAAGAATACGGACGCAATAAGAAACTACCACGACTACTCATTTTAGTAGCCGCTTATGACTGGTTCATTCTTTCGTTGTTAAATGGAAGGGGAAGTACTGTATCGAACTGAAAGGGATCACACCCCGAACGATAACCCACGACTGGCTCATTTTCCCTCCCCCAAACCTGACGGGGAAGAAATTAAGAAAACTATTGAACACAGTCGAGTGCATCTGCTCAAGTTCGTCACGGCAAAAGAAAAGAAAACTCGAAAATAAGTTTCATCAGCAAATAAAGAGATTGACGGATCGCTAACGTAGCCCGCGCCTTCTAATATGATGTCCGTCTAACAGTTCGCTAGTAACATCTTTGCTTTTGTCAAGGAATTCTTACCGCCAGAAATTAAAATGCACTTATAGTTCTACAGCACGGGAACTTATGAAATCATATTGGGAAAAGAGCACGGATGGCGTCAACAATTGGTCAATGAGCTCATTAAGCAGCAAGTCTCGCGTTTTAGGTTTTTTTTTTATGGACTTATACGCGCGTGTGCTAAACTACGTCCTCAAAGCTTATTTTTTTTTTTGGTAGCCCAATAAATCAGTTGTGAGTTAGCGCTCGTGGTAACCTGTTTTTTCTATATGTGCCTGTTCTTTCTCTAAGTAATGACATCTGTGTGTGCAAAGGAAATCACCAATGGGAGGGTAGTTACTGCATGTTTTATTTTTAGCCTTGCCCTAACGCGGTCGTTTTTCGTTTTGTAGACCCCCCGCATCTGCTGGTCGCAAATTGTTGAAGGCCGTGGTGTTGTATTGAAACGGCATTTATATTCTTTTGCATGGCGGGTCGTTCAGCATACGTGAATTCCTGAGAAAATGAAGTTAGACAACCAGTCGTTCGGGGCACGAAGCTAGGAGGAAATGCGTACGGATTTCTCAGGAAGAAAAGCATCTTAGTTGCCGAACAATTTGTCCTGGTACTGTAATGGAACCCAACACAAACGCCTTTCCAGGAGGTCCCCAGGTCAGGAAGAATTTTTCTGTGACTGTGCGAAATCCGTGCGGATTTTTTTTTTGTGTGGCTTCGTGCTACAAACGGGTGGTTGTCTCATTTCCCTTTCTTAACTTTTCCGCAACCTTGCGGGTTCACAGAACTCATTTGCATATGTGAATTTCTATCGGCCACAATATATATTACGAGAAGATTGGAAATACTTATGCAGCAAAAAAAAAAAAACCAATGAAAACAGAATATAGTGAAGACAGCAAAGAAGCAATTTTCTGTCTTTCACTGTGTTCTGCGTTTGTACATTTTTTTTTTGCTGAATGAAAGTTTTTTCAATGATATGCACCAATTAGTCCAACGACGACTTGTACTATTTCAGAAGTACTAGAACTTCTGCGTATATTCTTATCTCCCGTCCCTGCTCTGACATAAAGCGCGTCTTTCATGATGCTTTGAGGCGCGTGACGAAGAACGTAGTGACATTTTTTACAGTATGAAAAGAAATATATCCAGCTAATAAAATAACGAATACAGGAAACGAAAAAAAAAAGACAGAAAAGTGGCTAGGGCTGCGGAAATTTCGACCACCTGGGGTTCTTTTTCGTGCACCCACATCTGAGCCCACGGGCCTACAGCGTTCTCGACTCCATCAAAAATGCAGCCGCCGCAGCCGGGATTCGATTCCACGACCTGCGGGTCAGCAGCCAAGTACCTTAGCCACTAGACGACCGCGGCAGGGCAAGCTGTATTGCACTTGCTTGTAGCATGACTCATTTCACACCCTTCACCGGTTCATAAATATCTGGTAGCTGGTGTTGATTTCTCACCAGCGTTCCCCTTTTCATTGTGGCAGACTTTGCACCGGGAACATGTTTGAGCGAGCTGAAACAAAAGCTATAGCGAGTACAAGATATTCCCGTGTAATGCTCTTAATCGTGCCTCCTGATATCTAGGCGATCTGGATTGGTACGGAGCTCAGAATAAGTACGAGCAGCAAAACTATGGTTGGCGGACTTTGTCGACCCTATAGGCTGTTCTGCTGGTAAAATGTTTCTGAACGTTCCGGCCGATGACAACGTGGAATTAGTCGAAATATACCGTATTTGCATGAAATTTGTGATGCTTTTCTCTTCAACTGCAGGTTCCTTTGGCCCTCATGACACTGTGCGTCATGCTGTTCAACGTGCTGCAGATGATCGTGTCTTTTGAACGTTGCGTCGAGTACACCGATCTCCCGCCAGAGGTAAATCGAGTACAGTGTTTGCTCATGTTGGTGACAGGGATAATGACAATGATGATAATGACAGTGTTTCTCCGCCACGGGGCCACAGTGCGGGACACTTGTAGAAGCCCGGCGGCCAAAGTTTGAGTGAATAGCGTGAAAGGAAAGACATCTTCATTCATCCATGTTACCCTACAGGCACCATAAGAGCGCCGAGTAGGAGAGGAGGGGGGTTACATAAATTTACATTAAATGAACCTAACTTAAAATTACCTAATGCATAAGTTGCGCGTGGTGTGATGGGCTACTCGAACCAGACAGGCGAGAAAACCTATTTTCAGAATTTTTGGCTAGAACTTCTTTCACAAACTGTAGGAATATTGAGAAAAATAACAAGATTGGGGCACATTCTGCTGCTTAGCTAAGTGCACTGATAACGTCTTCTTCCCTCAAATATGCATCTCCACATGAATCGCTTTAACTTGTAGCACATCTAAAATTGCATGAAATCTTCCACCTCTACTTCGACGATAAGCTTCAGCCATTTGTGGTGATAACTGCGTAATTTTGTAAAGAAACAAAAATTACGGAACTTCGCCATCAACGAATCCAGCTGGGCGAGATCCTACGGAGGCAGTATTTGTACGTCTGTTGTGAGGTCTGCATTGTTTGGTTTCTCGCGTAGAGAGCGACCTGCCGCCCACATGGAGCGAAGAACAAAAAGCCTCAGTGGAGAAGATCCCTCAGTGGAGAAGATCCTGTTCGCCTGGCCAAGCCAAGGCAAAGTCGAGTTCCAAGGCTACTCGGCATCTTACCGGCCCGGTGTCCTGCCGAATGTCCTCACTAGTCTCACCTTCGTTGTCAATACTAAAGAAAAGGTGAGTGCTATAAACGCCAGAATGCTCCCGTCACCTTCTTCGAGCCGGCCTTCGCTACAGTGACAGACAGTTACAACCATTGGATACATGAAAACAGATTCCACAAGACACTACTTCACTTCATACGCAACACCGGCCTAACAGCACACATTTAACAAAAAAAAAATATTATGCCTCAAAGGCAAGTCTTTGTCGCAATAATAAAAAAAAACTCCTATACCAAAATATTCGTCTTGCTAGCTATATCGCTAATTTCCCTTTCTTAGGTTATAAAATCGTATCATGGCACCCTGATATTCCAGCTGCGTTCGCTGATAACTGGTAAATATAGCTTGCAAACGTGTATTTACATCAACGAAAACGCATAGCACGAGCGACTATTGGCCTGAAACGTGTCACGTCCTCAGGGCACAAGCCTGTCCGATAAGGTATATACGTTCATTTTTTTTTTCAACAATAGAAGCTAAGTATTATTGCCATTTTGTGTGGTCCCGTTTCAGATTGGGGTTGTCGGACGTACCGGGGCTGGCAAGTCCTCGCTAGTGCTCGCGCTACTCCGCATGCTGAGAGCTTCGGAGGGCCGCATCCTCATCGACAACGTGGATATAGCCGGAGTACCACTCCGGAAACTGCGTCGCAGCATCACCGTCATACCTCAGGTGATATAACATTTAAAAAAAGTACTGTTGACTTCGAGCCATGTCCTCGCTTATTCGCGCGAATGACAGAATCAGCTCGAAGGGTGGGTTGCGCAGCAGTGTTGAAGCCGAACAGAAGTCGTCCTAACACGTGCCCATGCCGCGGTAAGCATCAGCGCCTTCTACCGGGTAACTACTTTTGTCGAGCGCGCATAATATCAAAGATACCATTGGCTCGCATCTTTTATAAATTCCAAAGCAACGGAAGGCACGGACATATCGCAACAGAGTGTTCTGATATGCTCATGGTTCAAAACCACTCAGTGGCTGGCCCCACCACGGTGGTCTAGTGGCTAAGGTACTCGGCTGCTGACCCGCAGGTCACGGGATCAAATCCCGGCTGTGGCGGCTGCATTTCCAATGGAGGCGGAAATGTTATAAGCCCGTGTACTCAGATTTGGGTACACGTTAAAGAACCCCAGGTGGTCGAAATCTCCGAGCCCTCCACTACGGCGTCTCTCATAATCATATGGTGGTTTTGGGACGTTAAACCCCACAAATCAATCACTTAGTGGTTGAACAAAGTATACTATTCATGGGTCGTTAGGTGTGTGAAAGTTAAATCGCCAAAACCAAGCACACTAGCCGGATTCCCAAAGCACATGTGTCCCCTCCTGTGCCGAGTGTTCGTAAGGAGAAAAGGTAAAATAGCTGCCTTCACGCATTACGTAGCTTGCGAATGCTGGTATAATATGATACAAGGTTCTCGCCTGTCAATACTGCTGTATTTACTCATAATGGCAGCTTACGTGCACCGCAGTACGTGAGTGTATCCGATGGGAGTGGTAATTGTGGGCTCAATGTTGCACCATGGCGCAGGCTAAAAACAACAGAAAAAAGCTGCTGTGTCACGCACACCTCTCTGTGTTAGTTTCTTTAGCCTGACCTGCCACGGTGGGTCAGGCTACGCTGCTCGATCACTGACCCGAAGGTCGCGGGTTCGATCCCCGCCGTGGCGGCGGTTGCGTTTCGGTGAAGGATAAGCGGTAGAGGCCCATGTACTGTGTTATGTCAGTGCACGGCAAGAAACCCTAGATTGTGAAAATTTACGGAGCCCTCCACTACGACGTCCCTCACAATTATATCGTGGTTTTGGCGCGTAAAATTCCATATATTATTTCTCTAGCCTGAGCTAACATAAATTAGAAGTAACGTGTCATTATGTCTACGGGTGCTTTTAAAATTAAAGATGGTTACCTTGCATAGCTTCAAAAGAGAACCTAAATAGAAAAATTCACACGTATATCCACGAAGTGAATGTTGATGATAGGGCGAAGAAGTGTGCATCGGATCACGAGTCATGGCCTTCTATTTTTTAGTCTTTTATTTTGATCTTGTTAACCTTTTGGTCTGTCATATGCTTTAATTGATGTTTGGTTTACATCAGAGTTTCTTATGGAGTTGTGGCCTTTTATTTTGGATGTGCTGGTTAATAACCTTTAGATAACCTTGTTGCTGTTCACCGATGTTTTGCTTTGTTCACATGCGCTACATCTCCTGTAGGCGCCAGATGGCGGCTTAGAGGCATTGTGTGGTCTTAAGGGAAGTCGCCCGTGAAACGTTAATTTAGTTCCACGAAATCCGTAAGAATGGTAAATATGGCTGTAACACCTGTGTGTAGAAGGTGGTTGAGGACACCAAAATGTGAGTGGAACTTCCCCGCGTCACCCCCTAAAGCTAATATCGTTGATGCGCTTTCAGGATCCCAGTCTGGTGAGAGGAACGCTGCGGATGAACCTGGATCCCACAAACTCACATTCTGATAGAGAGATATGGCAGTGCCTCGAGAAAGCCCACTTGTCCAAGCTTGTCTCCAGTGATTCCAGAGGACTGCTGATGGAGACAACCGACGGTGGTAGCAACTTGAGGTAGGCTGTACTGATTAACGTATATATTAAGTAAATTCTACGGTTCTGAAGACATACGGATACATAGCCAATACTGAGTAGCGCTGCCCAAGGCCATATTTAAGGACTCCAGGTCAATGGTGCTGGTGGTGCTCAGGCTCGCTGTGGAATTCCACAGACTAGCTGCGGAAAATTTTTTTGTAATCGAAGATTCTCACTCCCAGGAAACTGTTAGAATATTGAGAATAGCATGTATCCATTTAGAGAAGCGATGTGGGACGGACGGACGGACGGACGGACGGACGGACGGGCGGTCTGAGAGCCTGAAGTGGTGGGGTTTAAATATTACGTGTCAGTTTTGATGCTATTACTCGAAATCTGTTTTATGTAGAAACAGGCATCACTCTCTACACCATAATTCCTGTTCTGTCGAGGTTAATATCTCTTGACGAATCCTATGTCAAGACTAGAACTATTCTAAGTCTAGCCCGAGTCATTTGCACGTCTGTTCAGTGTCACGCAGGTCACGCGAAGAGAGGGTGCAGTTAATAAATAAATAAACAAAAAGATATGATGGTGCTCGAAATTATGATGTAATTGTGTGTTTAGAAAAAAAGTGAGTAACGATTTTGAAAGGATGATGATGCTGAATGTCGATGATGCTCAAGATCATAACGGTGATGATCACCCACACACACCCACATCGCCGGCACAGCATATCTAATAGAGGAAAAAACACAGGTAAACAAAAAAAGCACAACAGGACAACAGATCGGCTGTTCCCGACGATATCGCTTTGTGGAAGTGAGTTTTTTTTTATTTATGCTTGATGTTTCAGTATTAGCGCGGTGCTTTGATTTGCAGCGTGGGCCAGCGCCAGCTAGTGTGCCTAGCGCGGGCGCTGCTTCGCGGAACCAAGGTCCTCCTCCTGGACGAGGCCACGTCGCAGATGGATGGGGACACCGACCAGCTCATCCAGGTGGCGCTGAGGGACGCCTTTGCACAGTGCACGCTATTCACCATCGCGCATCGCATACACACCGTCCTCGACTACGACAGGTAAGCGCTCGAAAGGCACGGAACCACTGCCCAACGTTTTGGTGTTGTCGCTAGACACAACGCGTGTGTCACCAATCACTTGCTGCAGCACCATTTATTGCAACGGAAAGAATTCCGGAAAGACAAGTTTTGTCTAGTTGTAGAGAGAAGAGAGCGAGAGTGTTATATACGTAAAAGCAGTATAGATATCTTGCCTGCATTATCTGTGGCGGTGGCTGGCTTAAACACTTCTGCGGTGATGCTCAAGGTCACCTCTCTGATGATTCCAACAATGCTCCCTATAGATGGCGCACCGCCACCCAAGGCGTCTCTTCTCAATGGCCCACGCGCCAGCTTCATCGAAGTGGCTTTGAAAGAAAAGGAAGTGAATTGTGGCGTCGTAGCTGTCTCTCTCTCAGGGGGTCACCTCAAACACCACTTGGGAGATGGGGGGGGGGGAGAGAAAGGAGTGTGAAAAAGAGATGAAAAGAGGAGGGTATTAGTGATGTTTGGTATGATAGGTGGTTAACGTGTCGATCGACGTAGCCAACGATGTGCAGTGTGTGCCGCGGGACGTGCACAAAAACGATGCTTTCGACGTACACATCATGCACCGGCTCGCCAACAAGCTTTCCTACCGAAATAGTCTCGCCAAGAAATGTCTGTACACCTCCGAGGAAGCTCCTCGGACATCATTCACTTTGTGAATATGGCGGTGATTTTTCTTTAAGTCGAACGTGCTACCGTACGCACATCGTCGTGCGCGACTGTCCAAGTCAAGGGGAACCCGGAAGTGCGCCCAATACGTTAAAAGAAATCCCCAGTTCATGTCTCTCTTGTGCCATACTGTGGCTTAGTTATTCCGCAAAATGGTAATCCGCAAATGGTAACAAGTTTACAGACAACGTACAACTCCCTCTTGACTGCAATTTGTAATTCATGAAAGAAACTTGCGTTCTTCGAAAGGGGTAGTGTGTGGACTTTCAAAAATTTTTTTTATTGATGGCATGTTATAATTCTCAAACATTACAGCACAGGACATGTGGTAAAACACGAGACATTATTTGTTCGCAGAATACTCGTCCTGGAGGATGGCAAGGTTAAGGAGTTCGACTCCGTGTCGTGCCTTCTCTCCGACAAGTCGTCGATGTTCTACAACATGGCCATCGAAGCTGGCATCAATAGCGCTCGAAGGAAACCCGAACTTATAAGCACCACTTTGTAATTGGTGTTTTTCGCCATCCTGTACGCAAGGCGAGCACGACGACGAAACACTGCTGTGTATGTGTGTGCCCCCGAAGGACAAGCCACGGGACAAGACACGAATGTCTTGTCCTTGTGCGCGCTGTGCGTATGCATCATGCACCATCTACTTGCCCATACCGTCACCTCAGAAAGTTTTTAACATGTATGTTCTCATAACTGTACAAAATCTGCATCATGAAGCGGTCAAGCGCGCTACGTCATAATAGGTTGCTGTGACAGTTACTTTATGCGTGTTGAATATTATAAAGTTATTTATCTTAAAGTTTCTGTCGTCATATATAAGCCAATTTGACGTTGGCGCAACCATCACGTTGCCGGAACGTGAACCCAAGAGGGCTGCATGTTCGTAAAGTAGTAGATGCTTTAACGTCCATAAATCAACCGTTCGCAGGAAGTGTGCTGCGTACGACATTTAAGCATATTAGAGACGCATATGCCTGGCACGAGAAATAGATGCAAATCACACGACGCTACGAGCTAGTAATTTGAAGTGCCACACTCACCATCGATTGAACTGAGACCTAAAGGTGACATGACACCCAATTTTCGATGATGATATGTGTTTTGGTGTGGGTGAATTCCTGCACGTTCACAAATAGGCTGTCAAAACTTCAGAGCGTTAGATTTGGTGAAGTAGTTAATTCATATTTGAATACTTTTATAAACACGGGAATGGCCTCACTGTGTGACAACGCTGGTGCACTAGCGAGCCGTGACGGAACAAGCATATAGCTGTACGAGCGTCTGCAATACGACGAATGGCTTTGTTTGGTTGCAAGCTGCGTGTGAAATCGATATTTTGCTTTCTTCAGCTAAGCACTGAAATGGAAAGATTCGCAGCAGCTGAAACATTGGTCGAAAAAGATGGTTCGGCACATGACGTCACAAGTGCTACGAGAAAATAATGGTCGCTGGCGGTGACCGGTGTTTCAGCTGCCAACTTATATGGCCTGTTTTGCACTGAAATATTTTCTTTTATAGCCTACCTTAAATGTTGCGATACTAGCCACGACAGACACTCTGCTTCTAGTTTTCGCTGTAAACCACAAATTTCCGAGTGACCGTCTCATGGCTCCTTTAACGGAATTCTTTCAGGCTTGTGAAAAAAAAAGCCAAGTGCCTCAACGGGCTCGCTTTTACGCTGGAAGTTCCAACTTTTTAATTGACCTGATTAGGCACGTGACCGAGTCGTAGGCTTATATAATGTACTCTCGGCGTCAAATGTTCTCCGTACAGCAGCAATCATTCGCAGTGGTAGAGTGCGTGCAGCCCATTCGTCACTATTGACAGGCGTGCACATCCAGTTTGGCAGCACTGTATGCGTGCCAGGAACATGGTAATGATTGAGGGGTGATCACTGTACCACTGCGAGGGCTTGCCGCCGTTCAAGTGCCATTTGATGCCGATAGTTTGCAATGCGCAAAGGATGGGCAAAAAAAAAAAATAGATGGTTCATAGCCATGGACTATATACGCCAAGAGAGAGCACTCCTGGGATGTATATTTCTAGCATGTGAGTGTTGTAAGGTACCCGGCTGAAAAACTTCAGTTCGATTTGAATGATTGCGCATGCATGACACTGAAGACCAGCTCAAAGCAACACCCTCTGAAAATTTTTTAGGCCTCTTCACAACCTCCTTTCCCCGCGTGCAACGTCACGCCAAGTGTCCCAGAGCCACGCTTTTTTGTGTACGACGCGCAGAATAAAGCGCGGCTTCCAGATATCCGACGCAAGGATTTTACACCAACAGTGCATTCGAAGGTAAGCAATTGTAACATTGTTTTATCAATCGTGTGAAGCTTCGTTCTTAAGTGCAACAGCTGTAACTGTCTAAAGGGAATACCATTTCCGTGCATAATGAAAACAGTTCAACAGAACAATAAAGAAGCATGCATTTTTCGTGAATATTCACTGATCAGCGGGGTGGATTTGTCAATGAACAGTGCTAAGGACATCCTTCTCACAGTATAGTTAAAATAACTTTTATTTAGCTATCTCTGCCATGGACTACGTTTGGTTTGCTCTCTGTGTCTTGTTTTTTTCGTGTTGATGTGTTTTCTGCACGTTGATGTGCTGAAATATTGTTAAGGGGAAATTAACATCCAGTCCGTAGCTAGCCACAGTGCAGCTCACTCACGAACGTCGACATATTCACCATTCCCATAGACAGCTTTCAGGGTATATCCCACTATGCACTGTTACACCCGTCAGAACCACTCAAGAATATGATACAGGTTACGATACATGTTATGATATGATACCGGTTATGATGATTCAGTTTTACTATGGGGGCTGGCGCTGTCAAAGAATAAGTGTGCGTAACCTCGAGGAAAAGAGGAACTTCGTTCTGATCCTCCCTACCTTGCATACCTGCGGTTAAACAAATTGTTGCGACCACTCATGTTATCCCATCTTGCAGTGTACAAAGCTGACGTAGTACAATCGATGTTACAAATTGGGCAGGGCATCTGCAGAATGCGCAACGCACTTCAAATGAAGCTACAGTGAAGTTTAGTTGCCTTACAATGATAAGTCTAGCAGAGTGATGCGCAGATTGAATAAGCGTAAGGCTATGTCAAGGAGTAACCTGGATATCCCAATTCTATAGTGTGGGTGAGCACGGCGATTTTTTTTTGACACCTAACGATTTGCTATGGATAGATTGAATGAACCTATTCAATAAATTTGACTGTAAATTAACACCCATGTGGTGTAGTAACAATTGTTTCCTGATATGGTTTCTAGCTTCGCGCCTGCAAACATTTTTAACACAGCCAGGAAAATATATTTTGTAAGTGCCCACTCGTTCCACAAAACAATTTAGCTCGGGGGTACCTCATGGCAAGGAAAGGAGTTACTGAAGATTGCAGCGCCACTCAGACATGAGCAAACATGGGATCGACAACAGGCGTGTTTGATAGAAGTCTGCAAACATCATGAAACAGGTCAAGTGTAGTCGTCATAATATGTCATAATTACATTCGAGCCGACTAACTGAACAGTATTGTTTCACCACACTCTTGACATTCGTTGCGCTATATCTATTGAACTATCAAAGACTTTACGCTAGACAACAACCTTAAAAGCATGAACACCCACCTGAGAAAACTATGAGAGGTTCATCTTCGTAATAACACACCGCATCCAGATTACATTAGTATACGGCTATATACATACCGCGTACATTTCTGTGTGATTCTAGTGAGAAAAAAAAATAGAGGTGCGTTTATTTTGCTGCCGCAGCATGCCCGTCTTCGTACATTACACAGGGCAAGGTGGGTGTTACGTGCGAATTTTTAATAAGTCACGTGAACTTCAGGGTGGGCCTTGTCCAGTGTGTTCCGTTCTGGTCACACCTGCGAAACCTTCTGTTGCGCTTTCCGCTGCTTCATTCGCACTGTGTGTCCCGCGGTTTGGCTCGGACTGCGTTCTGCGGTTCTGTTCTCACGGCGCTCCACGGCAGCACTTGCTTGGTGACCCGAGTTGGTTTCGTTCGCACTGCCTCCTGATGGGGTGCTCCGACGGATTTCCAGCGTAGGTCCCACAGAAGTCCAACGGACTCGTCCCGGTTTAATTTTCGTGGATCGTTTCCCTTTACTTCCTACGGTGCCATTCACACTGCGTTCTATGGTTCCGCTTGCTGAACGCTTCATGCTGCTGGCGCGGCGATTCGTGGGTTCATTGGTGCTTTCCCAGCTGGTCCTATGCTCCATTGGACGGTCTTCACTGCGCGTCGCGTCACGCTTGCTTGATTGGTTCTGGGTGCGTTCCTTGAAACTTTCTGTGATCCACATCTGAGCCTTGTTCCCATTACTACTCCTGGTGCGGTTTACGCGTGTGTTGGCTCTGACTTCCTCGACGCGCGTCTTGATGTCTTCTTCATCGCTGTCACTCGCGGCCATGTCACTTTCGGTCGCGCTGTCAGTGACGAGGTGAATCGTGCGTTCATGGGTAAACAGCTCCACCGTTGGCAGAGTCTGGTTGTCGAGGTCACTGAAAGACAAGGGCCGAGAAATGGTTCCGTAAGGTTGTTCGTATTGCTCGTTTCTATTTCAATGTCACTTCCAATTTTTTTTAATCAAAAGTTTCTTTACATACACACGTACATACTAGAATCGCCGCTCCAACACATCGAATCGTGCCGTGCAGAATGGTAAGAATCAACTCGATGCACAGATTTCGCGGAAGTAACGCTGACAGTGACAGTCACTGAGAGTACTTGCGAAGTGATACCAGGTTTATAAGAACAAAACAATTAACGTTGTATGAAACAGAGTTGCCTGGTGGTGTCACAGCACTCGTGCTGTGCAAACGAACAAGGCAATTAGCGCGTTGTAGTTCTTCGCTCGACATACATCTATACTATGACGTACTCCTTAGGGTACTCGCGAAACAACTGCAATCTGCAGAGGGTTCCGGAACTTTTGACCGCCTCGTTAGAAGAGCCTCAAGAATTTCGCTTCTATCAAAATGCGCCCACCACCCCCGGGATTCGACCCCGAAATCTTCGTGTCGGCAGTAGAGCACCGAACACATTAGGTCACCATCGCGAGTTATACTAAACAAACCATGTAAGAGGACCCTGGTACGTGCGATATCACTATCACATGACATATGACCAAGAAGTGGCGAATCAGTCACGATCACAGGTCGGCGAAAAATCAAAGTTCACTCAGACTCGCCGAAGAAATGTATCTTGATCTGTGGTCTCGCTCGTACTTACTAATCAAAGCTTCCTTCGACTGAACTGACCCGAACTCAGATTCTCTGAACTTTTTTTTTTCTCATACGGACTCGCTTGGATTCAAGCTCCCCATCATATTACTCAGCCGGGCTCACACAGACTTATGGTGTGATCCGAGTCTGAGTCAGTCTGTGTGAGTTGACTCATGATTGAGTTTGCAAACCGATGGTCTCGGTTACAGCTGGGCACAATTTTCTTTTTTTTTTCTGGCGCGCAACAACTTGGGACATGTGCCGGTAGTGGGATTCTACTCAAGAGGAGAAATGAGTAGCTCTAACAATGAGCAGAAATGTGACTAAATCAACCCATGTTTTATTGACGCAGCGAGCAATGGAAAGAAATATGGTGGGTGTAACCTTAAAAGATACGAGAGAGCAGAGTGGATTAGGAAACAAACGGGGTTAAGGATATCATAGTTGAAAACAAGAAGAGAAAATGGGCATGAGCCGAACATGTAGCGCGTAGACAGGATAACCGCTGGTCAATAAAGTTAACTAAATGGATTCCCCGAGAAGGCA